CAAGACACTAATAGAGCTTGCCTATGATGGTGATGAAGCAAGAATAGCGGATGACCCTACCATGCTCAAGAAAGCCGCATTTGAGGAACCGCATATTCTAACACACTATCCCAAGAATCCCTTTTGTCCAGTTTGTCAGATCTCGAAGTCAACTTCCAAGAGAGTCTCACGCAAACCTGATGTCAAAGATGACGACTTCATAGACCCACCAAAAGGTCCATATGAGCAGTTGTCAACCGACGACGTCATAATGGCAAAAGGAGAGGACTTGGCCGGCAAAGGTGTAGGTGGGGTTAAAGCATTTCATGTAGTCCGAGACACCTACTCGGGTGCTAGAATAGCATACCCCATGAGTAAGCGTGATGCCAGTACCCACTCCAAGAACTTCCGCCATTTTCTAGGCCTGAAGGCTAACGAGGTAGCTACGCGCGTCCTTGTTAAGATGGACGAGGCTGGGGAGTTGGAACAGGCTGCGCATGAAGTTGGGTTGATTCCGGAAACGTCCTTGCCAAACAGATGGCCCCATAATGCCATGATGGAGAGAGACATCCGTGAAGAAAAGGAATGCTGCAGAGCAATCCATCTTCAATCCGGGTTGCCATATTCCTTTCACACCCACTCATATCCCTTTGCATGTCTTTCCATGAGTTTTGACAGACCGTCAGCCTTGGAGTCCGCAAAGACACAATGGGAGGCGCTCACTCGCAAGCCCTTTGACGGCATGAGACATTCATTCGGTCAATTGATGTACTACCGTGACAAGCGAGTATCTAAGCGCACCTTAGAGCCTAACATGTCCCCATGTTTGTTCGTAGGTTGGCGAATAGATGCTGGTTTTCGGTATCGCTATGTGGTTCGTGTTCTTGACTACATGGATTACAAAGTTAGTGAACATGTCAATGTCCAAGAAGTCCCCGAAGCTGAAATCTATGTTGAAGATGGTCCTCCATGTTTTCCAATGGCCTCTGTTAAGTTAGCGCATTTGAAGGGAGGTTCTTTAGGAGTCCTCGACGATCTTGCACGTCTTGACATGCCGGATATCCCTATGAAGGAGATTCCTTTCGGACTGGAGGGGGCCGACGCCGTCCCCCCATCTCCCGTGGACCCTAAAACCAGGGGGGTGTACATCACTTTGGATCGCATCATCCGGTTTAGCGAGACCCCAGGGTGTAAAGCGTGTGAGAAGAAAACGCGATACCACACGCCTGCATGCAGGAAACGTTTTGCCAAACTTGTTGATGAGGAGAGACGCGACCTTCTTGCCAAAAGGAAGGAAGGCATCACCGTCGAGGAGCTTCCACCGCGGGAGCCCGAGACCGCGCCTCCGACGGAGTCATCCGAAAGTGTAACTGAGCATGAGCCACACATCATCGATGCGACTCCGACTGTGATATCGGGGCTGTCGCTCTCGCCACACACCACATACAGGACGCAACTCATCCACACTCGCCCCGAGAGTGGAGTCCCGGTGTTTGGCATGCCCTCAACAGCACAGACAGCTCAAGTTTCTAAGTCTAAGAAGAAGAAGAAGAAACCGCGTAAGGCGCGGCCTGGCCGATGCATGTTCGAGTTCGCATGTGCCTCGGATTCGCAAATGCACGAGACTTTTCTGGAGATGGGAATTCCCCACATTGCCCTTTCAAAAGAGCACCTCGATCTAGACGATCCCCAAATGCAAGCGCAGTTGCATCACCACATAAGCACCTGCAAAGAGATTCCTGATTTATGGGCCTCAATCCCTTGCGCATCAGGGTCTCCTTGGCAAAGGGTAAATCGCATGAAAGGGGGGCTCAACTTCATGAAAAGGCATGCACTTCAGGTTAAGGAGTCTAAACGTTTATTTGCTGAATTCGCTAAGTCTGCAGAGCTTACTTTAGCTCGAGAAGGCACTGTCACTTTCGAGTGGCCTAAAGGGTGTGAAAGTTGGCAACGCACAGACGTAAAACATTTCTTTGATAGCCACCCCGAGTTTGTTCCAGTCGAATTTGACGGGTGTGCTGTTGTGGTGTGAAATCCACTAAAGGCAGACCCATTAAAAAGAGGTGGCGACTGATGACCACCAGCAGGGCTATCGTCGACATGTTCTCGAAGTTCCAATGCACCCATAAACCCCACGAACATGATCAAGCGGTCGGGTCGCAGACAGCTCGTACTGCATTTTACCCAAGGCAGATGACCGTCCAAATTGCAAAGGCCCTGTACCCTAGCATGTCTTTTTCCCATCATGCCCCAGCCATGCCATGTTTTTCATGTACCCATGAACATGAGCACAGGGACAAAGAGCAGACGCTGAAACATGTGTCAGCCCTGTCGGGGATCGACGCTATGGCCATCGCAGTTGAGACAGATGACACAGTCGGGCAAATGGTAGAAAGTTTAATGGATATAAGTGCTCTCATGCACGAGGCCTACCAGATCCCTAAGACCGACGATGGTAAAGATCAGGTAGCAGCTTTGGTCACTAAGCTCCTAAGTCGCACCGAGATGCTCAGCGACCCTGAAGCCTTGCAAAAGGTTAAGGACGAGGCAGCCGATTTGGTTAACGAAGGTACTTGGGAGTATGAATCCGTTAGGGAGAAGGAGCACGTCCGTGCTGAGGCTAAGGCTTCCGGAGTCTCCGTCCATTTCGGTAAACTAATGACCATAGCCTCCATTAAATTTTACGAGCTGGCAAAAGAGTTGCAGAAAAAGAAAGGTAGGATTGTCTACCGAGGTGACTGCGCAAAGGACGAACATGGCGCAGCAGCCGTCTATGAGGAATTAGGCGCAAACCCGACTTCGGTCCAAGGGCTGAACGCTTGCCTCGCCTACGGGTCACTACCTGGTAACCTGTGCACCGCCGCGGATGCGGTGAAGGCGTATGTGCAAGCAACACTGAAGTCCAAGTACAAAACTTGGATCGAACTACCACCCGAACTTCGACCCGCGTGGTGGAAGAACAAATTTGTTCAACCAGTGGTCCTTCTCGTCAAGGCGCTGTACGGACATCCCGACGCAGGAGGGATGTGGGAACAGCATTTGAAGGGCATTCTTAAGAAAATGGGTGGCGAAGAAATCCCAGAGTTCCCCGGTAACTTCTGGTTTTCTGGTCCTCGTTTAATGTTATCCACATACGTTGACGACCTCACTTTGGCAGGCCCACGGGAGAACCACCAAAAGTTTTGGTCAGAACTCACGAATGTTGTTAACGTTGAACCACCCGAAGCTATTTATAGAATGCTAGGGAGGAACCACATCTACGCGGTAGTCCCAGATTCAGGAAACACCGAGACCGCTGCTTTGCGCGGTAGTGCTGACGCCCTAATCTTCGACATGAAAGATTACGCGCAGCAAACCATCGACCTCTACAAGTCGGCGGCCGGTGTCGATAAGATAAAGTCAGCCCAGACGCCATTTCTCGTCGACGGCACATTCACCACGGCTGATGAGGAGTCGCCCGGAGAGCTCGCACCAAAGGCATGCTCTATCCTGATGAAAGCTCTTTGGCTTGCCAGGTTAGCGCGGCCTGATATACTTAAACCGATCAACGATCTGGCCACCAAGGTGCAGAAGTGGACCCGTGTCCACGATAAAAAGCTGCTACGGCTCATTCAGTATATTCAGCACTCACTAGAATATAGACTAACCGCCGTCTGCGGCGATGATGCTAGTGAGCTGTGGCTAGAACTTTTCGTGGACGCCGATTTCGGTGGGGACCAACATGACGTGAAGTCGACCTCAGGGGGGTACTTAGTACTTAAGGGCCCTAACGCCCACTATCCACTAGCATGGGTGTCGAAACGGCAGACCTCCACGTCAAGATCCACTACAGAATCGGAAGTAGTGAGCTTGGCCTATTCGTTATATCAAGAAGGGCTACCTTCGCTACAGCTATGGGATAAACTTCTTGGACGGGACGTTAACCTCGTCATACAGGAAGATAATCAAGCCACGATTCTTGTAGTAAGGAAGGGCTTCTCCCCTAAGCTACGACACATCAGCCGAACACATAAGATAAACCTCAGTTCCTTAAAGGAATGCATCGACGACCCATCTGTCGAAATTAAGTACATCGATACGAATGAACAAGCTGCAGACATTTTCACCAAAGCGTTGCCACCACAAAAGTGGTTCAAAGCGCTATGCTTGCTTGGCATCCGTACACATATACAGTGCTTAGTCCCATCTAAGACAGATAGGAGCCTTCCGAGCAGTTCGAAGCCTTCGTAGGTCGTCGAAACCGCTGCCACCCGGCGCGGTAATTCGTGCATGTACAAAGGAATGCTGCCCCAAAACGGGGAGGGGGGAGTCATTTTCTGTGAACCCCTAGTATGTAACAGCATTCACTACATGTCTACTAGTAGCTACGGTTCACACACCACATGTACAATACATGTGCCGACCGTGGCTCATGGCTCAAGGAAAAGGGTGCCTCCGTCACTCTTTTCTTTCAGGGTGCCAGGTTGGTTGACCTGTGGTCGGCCCTCCTTTTCGTTGCCTTCGCGCTTCCGCACTCTTCGCTCTCGTGCCTTCGTTCGATCGCCGTCGCGCCTTCGTTCGCTTGCACTTCGTAACCACGGGTACTCGTCCTTCGGACTCCCCCCGGGTTATAATAAACATCGATCGTGCTTCCAGGGATCTGGCATACTTCTTCTACCACCTTCCGGTTGAGAGGGTTGCCTGGGCGTTTCCCTACGCCCCACCTGGTTTGTACACTCAATTTCCTTGTGGCTTAATGCTTGTTTGTGCCCCGTCTTGCAGCGAGTTCGCCACCAAGAAGGGACCCCAAGGACGCGAAGAAACGAAAGACATCCTCACAATCAGAAGAGCCAATAGCAAGAGTAGACTGAAAAAGGATTCAACAGTGCCCATCATGCTCCAACACAGCTTTACCAAACAAATGGAATAGTCCAATATACAGCAATTGATGAAACATGATTGCCAAGCTATTCCACTTCTCGAACTTCTTCTTCTCTTCTCTGGGAGGAGCCATTCACAGATCCCAGTCCGTTTGCGCAAAGGTCTTGGCCTCCCGATGCATTCTTGAGAGCGAGCTACAGGCAGCGGGTTGGGTCACGCGTGCAACGCAGCTCGCGTGTTCAGGTCACTAGGTCATTTGTGGCTACGCTGCTACTCACCCTTTTCACCGAGCTAGTGTACCGATGATCCCGAGAAGTCAGAGCAGGAGTTGTTCGGCAAAGTTCGAACGCCAGCTTGGGATTCTTCACATTTCTTCACATTCAGTGGACGAATCATCTCTCACCACTTCTCTTGTTCTACGGCGCAGGACGTTTACACTGGTCCCCTGGGCCTGCTTCTGTTGACTCAGTGTGAGAAGGCCGGGGAAACTCTCGCGGGTGCACTTTGAAGAACGCCCGTGTTCAAGACGTTGCAAGCATGGGGCTGACGCGGTAACACTGCCATGTTCCTTATTGCCACATGATGCTTCGTGGTGTGACTTTTTGTGCTTTTGTGAGTTGCCTTCATCCCGTGTTCGTGCCAATCATGTTGACTGATTTATAAACCCCCCCCATATCAAAAACGGGAGGTTCTATTCACGAAAAGCCGAATGTAACAGAACCGACCACCGCGGTGCTGGCCTTGGAATCGCCTTCGCCTTCGCTTCGTCGAGTCCAGGCAAGGCCCAAGCCGCTCAGGGAGGTGAGAGGGGAGTGCGGTGCGTGCGCGGCGCGCACGGTGGGAGAGCGGGACCGGGTCTTTCTCTAGTTGTAGATCCCTCCAAAGTTGGCTGGTGTATGTGGCATGTGGGTTGATTTGGGGACTGGTGTTTCTCCAGAATCAAGGTGTGGGTGACTACGTGCTGTTCCTGTTTCAACGTGCTGTTCCAGCGGACCAGCGGAACCCTGGCTCTCCGCCACATGTACGCCGACCGTGACGGCACCGCCGACCGTTGGGCTCCAAGGGCACGGATGGACCGTTCGATGACAGCGGGCTCTTTTCATACCGTTTGCCTTGGACAGTGCAGTTCATTTCTCAGCCAACATAGACAGACAAAGAAAATTTAATATATATATATATACATATAGGGATCCCAGCAAAGCTAGAAAAGAAACAATAAGAATATAGCTTTTTGCCTCCAAGCTATTGATTCTCTTCCGGAGTACCTCCTGACCGCTCATGTTCTGCTTCCTTTTTCGGCCTCTGCGGGCGGTCCACGCTTCCGCTTGATGCCATGGATGGCACCTTGGAGGCTGGGTGGACCGCCGGGTGACGGTCCTCCCGGGTGACGGTCGGCCGGCGGCCGCGCGGCCGAGGCGGCGCCGAAGCACCTGAGTCCACAATCCGTCTTCCGAGCGGCTCTGTTCATCCAGGCCGGTGGAGGGGGGAAAGGGTCGGGTTGGGACGGGGCCAGGGGAGGGGCACCAGAGATGGGGCCCGCGCAGCGCCGCGCAGCAAGAGGCTTTTGCCAGGAACGTTTTTTTCGGAAAATGATGCTCTGCCAAGTACTAAGTAACCAAGTTTTGGATGGTACGTCAAACTTGGTCAAACTCGGTTGCTTCGTTGCTTCGTTGGTCGGTCACGAACGCCGAGCGCCCAGACCGCCTTCCGGCGATGGCAGCTTGCGGACCCGGCGAGGCGGGCGTGGGCCGACCATGAGGGGCCCGGCCCATTTGAAGATGTGTTGAACCATTTCGACAGGACCACTAGGAGATAATCTAGACGATCTAGAAGTCTCACTTCTGTAGTAAAAGAATGGGATGATCCCTTGAACCAACGGGTATTGTATTTCTATAGTGTTGGTAGGTGAATGGCACTGTTTGCTGCTACGTGACTAGCGATGGCCTCCATCCCAGTAGCGATGGCCTCCAACCTACTGGCGATGGCCTCCATCCCAGTAGTGATGGCCTCCCCCTAATACCAGCTACATGCTTCCATATGCTTCCCCAGGCTTTTGGGCATCGAGTCCACCGTGCCCTCGCCGGCCTTGCGCGTGGCGCTGACCTGGAAGCAGCGGCTATGCCGGCCGGAGACGGTGGATGTGCAGGCGGAGGCCGGGGCGGGGAGACGGTGGAGTCACTGCTGTCATCTCAGTAGTTACATCACCGGCTTACAGGTGGTATAGGGCTTAAAAGACATCTACAATTACATGATGTATCATGATGTCATGATGTTATTTATACATGCTATATTCGGATATTCACCATTCTTGACGTGGATGTGGTCAGGCTTGCCTTTTGGGAGGTCTACCCCTTTGGATGCGCGTCCAAATGAATCAGAAATCGAGTGGGCCTCGCCGATGAAGGGAATCGTGTGATCACGAGCGTCGAAGCTCACAGGTCTTAGCTCGTTGGGAAAAGTCGCCTAAAAGTAAAAGGGAGAAGGCCCCAGATCAGTGTGCTAGTCACTATTCCATGCAGGTTTACCCTCAGACCACGGAAACTGGCGCTATGTCACATGTCGCATTGCTCATGTTCCAATCGACGGTTCTTCGACAGAACTACATGGGATTCGTCAGTGTTCTGGAATTCAGAGCGACTCAAGGAGCAAAGGATGCTACTAGGGTCTCCTGGCCTTACTACTAGGAGCAAGGACTCCTGGCATCGCTACTAGGAGCATTCTTACTACTAGGAGCAAAGGACGCTACTAGCATCCAAGTTTTCCGGTGAAGGATCAATGTGGTGAGACTCCGTTGTAGTGTGTCCCCTCAAAGACCACTAGAAAGAACCCCACAATATTGGTCAAAGAGCTACCCCCAGCTTGGGGTTGCGTTTACACAGTGGGACCGGAAGGTGCAGGTTAACGTATAGGTCACATGCACTTTCTGTCATTAGTCTTCCAAAAAATAAGGTCTACTACGACCCCTCCACATCCTCAGGGGGGCTGCCGTGTCGTGTGGCGACCGCCAGGCCATGGCGGCTGTGGCGGTGATCTGCGGCCGGAACCGAGGTCTCACGCTAGGGCCCATCGTGGCCTGCTACAACGAGCCGAGACCCCTAGAGATGGCTCTAGCCACAGGGGGAGCAAGTGGAGTGGGAAGGTGGAAAGGTACTTCTGGTGGTTCTGGCATTGGTGCGTGGCATGGGCCGCTTGTTCAGGTCTAACTTGGCCGATCCCTAGCTCAAGAGTAACAAGAGCAATTGGGTTGCTTGATCTCTAGACCAAGCAAATCTGCAGTTCTGACGGAATCGGGCTGCATATAGTTCCAACTTCCGGGCAGGTTCTTTGTCGGTAGAGCCAGGAAGCATGCACTTTGTTACGCGTATTTCCAGGTGAAACAGCACAAAAGGTGTGCAGTTTTTTGTTTTCCTTAGCCGTCTCCAACGGCTACAGGTATCATGGGAAGCTTCCTGACGATGATGCCATCTTCTCCCTACTCATGGAGCGATTCCAAGAGGCGCCGACATGGCGAGAGCGGAGCCGCTCCGCAGGTCCTCGGAAACCAAAGACCTGCGGCACCGAAATCCGAGCTCACCATGTTTAAGTGGTTTCGTAATTTAAGGTTATATATATATATATACACACACAGCATACAGTAAATGTTATTACAAATAAGCGTTACCACCAGGATGATTTCCCTTGTGGGTAGGGCCTGATGAGGCGTCAGGAGGTGTCAAGCGTTACATGCGCTGCAATGCAACCCCCTAGGTGTCAGGGCGGGGAGCGTTCCGTTGCCCGACGAAGCGGCCGCGACCTGTGAGGTGGCGGAGGACATGGATGAAGCTGTCCTGGCGCAGCTTGAAGATGTGCAGCGCCCATCAGAGGCGACACACCTCCATTGGGCGACCAAACGTGAGGAGTGTCAAAAAGGTTTTTGGGACCAAGATGTTAACAAAGCTGGGAAATCAACGCAGTCTCAAAAGACTTCCGTCAAAGCTGCAACTCGTTGAAGACCAAGCTCACTTTTTCGCAACTACGAACGGAGCGTTCGAGGACGCTTCGATGCCCGGAGCAATGGACACTGCATCGCGTAGCGAACGGAGCGATCGGACGCGAACCGAACGGATGTTGGACGTCCATCTCGGCCTGCCGCCTCCGCGAGGCGCGCGCGATCATCGAGCAGGGTCGAGCTGCCTGGGGTGCACCGGCCAGGGACACCCAGAAAACGGGCCAAAGCATTCGAACTTTCTTCGGACTGCCTACCCTACCCACTTCCGAAGAATGGACAGGGTGTTTTGCTATGCCTATAGACTCTGATGGCTCAGTCTCGGAAGACTCAGTTCACACGGAAGGTGAAACTACTGTGGCCTGAACAAATTGAAAGTGGCATCCAACCTGACCAGAAAGAGCGATCACACTTGATGGTCAGAAAGTTGGGAAAGAATGCGCAAGCATGCACAAGTAAGGCTGCCAGGTGGTAGGCTAGATGGGTAGCCAGCTTCCAGCTTCTGGTAATGTCGGAAACCTAGCCCTGCGGCGCCTGCGGCTGCACTCGAGGAAAGATCGCTGATCCAGAATCATGTGCTCTTCTCCTCTTGTCAGGCGGGCAAATTCTGGCCTTGTCAGACGTTCCAGAACTTGAGTACTTGAGCATTTTGTCCCTTGTTCCTTTTACCTGTGGGTTTCAATGTTTCTCTGTTCTGGAACCATACCTAATCTATTCCAATGGACCATTTCAGATGGGTGTTTGTCAAGATGGACCATTTCAGACGACTGCTGGTCAGGAGAAAGTGGAGCAAATGAAAAGAGTCATGGAAGGCAGGGGAAGCTGCGGAAAAGGAACCGACTCTCTTCCGTATACCGTCCTTTTAGCAACACGTGTCGGTGAGAACTAGCGTTCTCCCATGGGTTAGTTCCATTGGCTACAGGGAAAACAAGGAACAGGTGTCCAGACCCATGTGTGAAGCCAGGCGATTGGGGGGTGTGAAGCCTTGCGATTGGCTGAGGTGAGCTAACAGCACGCAGCATCCTCAGCACCCAGGACACTGCATCATCTCGTCATTCCAAGTCTTCCCAGTCTCGTCCCAGTCTCGTCAATTCCTTGGAGGTTGAAGCGTCCGTGGACCCACCTGGGAGACGTTTATATAACTTTGGGATGAGCTTTCATGAGTTCGTTGGAACACCTCCGGGGTTCGTTGGGTTCGTTGGGTTCGTTTCGGCTCAGCAGGTGGTTCTTTGGCTCTGAGGCCTGGAATTTACCACGACGAAGCGCTCCATACAAAGATTTTCCGAGGACCTGCTTTGTGGTGTTTATGGCAGACACTTGGGAAGAAACGGATGGCATTTGGCAAGTACAAGTGAGTCATTGTTTGTTTCCTAACTTGAAGAGAAACAGAATTGAACTGTTCAGAGCAGGAAGTGGAGCAGGAGTTTCACAACTGTTGCGAGCTTAGAGACGCGTTCCGATTCACCATCACCGCCACCTCCGCGGACTCTCCGCGGACTCCGACCGCGTCCGAGCGGCCGATGCGTCCGCTCCGGGTCCGGGGGTGGAGCCCTCCGCAGGTCACACCCCCTTGCGTGGGCGTGTCTTGAAGGCCAAACAGGCGCACAAGGCGAGGGCGAGGGCGAGATCGATCCTCGAGAAATCAGTTTTGGGGGCAGATCCTAATGAGATCCTCTCGGTTTGAAGGGGCTTTTGGTTGAACTGGCAGGCCCGAGTGGAGCTCGAGGTGCGCAAGCTTGTGTTGATTTTTGCACTGCACAATGAGTTTCGTTGCGCAGCCCTTCGTTTGAACAAATCGAAGGGAAGATTTTGGACC